AAATTTTTTTTAATTTTTTTTTTTTTTTTTTTTGGAGGGGGGAGGGGGGGTTATATATATGTGTGGTGTTGATAATAGTTTACACAACTGAATTAAGAAAACACTTGGATAAGATTTTATAAAATTTATTGGTAGGGTCTATTTTTGAAAAAAAAAATCTTGTTGTCATATATCTTAAAAATATACTTTTAAAAAATATAATTTTAACAACTCCAAACAATCCCTAGTCAAAAAGTGTACTTATTTGAGGTACTTATAACTTATTTTATTCTATATTTTGTGCAACTTATATATACAACATATTTATTGAAAATAACGTAAATAAATAAATTATCCGTAAGTTGAAAAATTTACTTTTGACTTTAATTTTTTTATTATCAATTTTAAATTTATAATAAGTTATAGCAAACAGGCCATTGTTATGTATTTTAAACTTCTACATAAGCCTGGAGATAATACAGGCCTATGCCATTCATTAGGCCCAAAATTGACTCCACGGACACAGTTAAAATTTAGTTTGGGCTCCACGTCAGCCCAAAAAGAATTGCATATCTTCTATTTCTTTTTGGTAGGAGATACTCATCAAGGAAGGGATCTTCTGTCCAAAACTATATCTCCCTCTTCCTCTGTCCCAGGCCACTCTTCATCACACGATCAAGTAAGAGAGACCGTGACGGTGTAGCTTGGGACAAGAAGACACTCTCCATCGCATGATCAAGTTAGAGTGATTGTATAGTAAAAAAATGGTTTGAGACAGGGTAGTCTCACCCGATCTCATCTGGTGAGAATCCCAACCTCCTCATTTGGCATACTAATATCTATATTCATAAAAAAATAAAAAATAAATAAAAAAAATTGAACCCTTAGCATCTTAAGTATGTACATCCATCAACTTCAACTCATTGCAGAATGAAAGGATATAACAATTATCATTTTTTCCCCTCAGGCCATGTTTGATTCATAAGACTAATAGTGAAAATATTAATAATCTCATCAAAGTAATGTGATATTCACTATCCAATTGGATTACTATAATAAATTATCCCCTTGTCTATTGTTTGATTTACATTGGATAAGAAAACATATAAATATAGGATTACAATTATATTTATCTTTTTTTCTAATCTTATCCACCATCAATATTTCTTTACAATCTTTACTTTATCGAAATTTCTTCACAAACGTGGTTTTGAATAAAATTATAAATAAATAAATAAAAGCAAAATTCAAAATGCAAAATACAAAGGTCATGTTTAGTTTGTTTTTTAATTTTTTTTTAAAATATAAATTAATTTGATAAAATAAATATCAAAAAATATTTCTAAAATTTTAAAAATTATTTTTAGCTTTCTAAAATATAAAATTATATAAAAATAATAAGTGTTTTAATTTTTAGTCAAGGGTAAAAGTGTCCTTTTATTTTGTTTCTCAGCTAAAGATATATAATCTCTACTACTAATTCTACAAATTTGTTGGATTAATCATTCTGAAACAAAATTTCAAAACAAACACAGGATTATTGGATCCACGGATTAATAATTTCAATCTCATATTCTAATTCTCTCAATCAAACATACCCTTAGAATATTAAATTCATGAGATAATATGGCTTAAAAAATCAGAGGTTGTGTTTGTTGACGCAATGCCAATATGATTTCAAAAAAAATTCTTTCAAATTGAAAGAGGATGTATTAAAAAAGGTAATTAATCAAAAGCAAATTTTAGTGTACTTCTAGGTATTTGAGCTAGCAGAGTTATGCTATTAGATATTATATACTAATAAAGAAAGATTATATACTAGCATACATGTTTTTCCTGCACTTTCCAAAGCCAATTAAGGGACTAATTGAAAGGATTCAAAGGTTGTACAGTACAACTTTTACAGCACTAGATAGCACACAATGATTAGAATAGAGCTAAACTTCTTAATGTCAAATATCACATATTTAAACTCTCTTGCAGTACTTCATAATCTAGTAATAAATACCATTGAGCTTGATGCAAAGTAAGTAAATCATGAGAAGGCGAAACCAAACTACCTAACTGAAGTACCTAAGTTGTCTTCAATTGTTCAGCATCAAGGACTTGTCAATTTCTTACTACTTCATTCCTGCAACACCAAACAAGCATCAATAATGTTATGTGTATAGAAGAACAATCCTGAAACAAAATTTCAAAACAAACACAGGATTATTGGATCTACGGATTAATAATTTCAATCTCATATTCTAATCCTCTCAATCAAACATACCCTTAGAGTATTAAATTCATGAGACAATATGGCTTAAAAAATCAGAGGTAGTGTTTGTTGACGCAATGCCAATATGATTTCAAAAAAAAATTCTTTCAAATTGAAAGAGGATGTATTAAAAAAGGTAATTAATCAAAAGCACATTTTAGTGTACTTCTAGGTATTTGAGCTAGCAGAGTTATGCTATTACATATTATATACTAATAAAGAAAGATTATATACTAGCATACATGTTTTTCCTGCACTTTCCAAAGCCAATTAAGGGACTAATTGAAAGGATTCAAAGGTTGTACAGTACAACTTTTACAGCACTAGATAGCACACAATGATTAGAATAGAGCTAAACTTCTTAATGTCAAATATCACATATTTAAACTCTCTTGCAGTACTTCATAATCTAGTAATAAATACCATTGAGCTTGATGCAAAGTAAGTAAATCATGAGAAGGCGAAACCAAACTACCTAACTGAAGTACCTAAGTTGTCTTCAATTGTTCAGCATCAAGGACTTGTCAATTTCTTACTACTTCATTCCTGCAACACCAAACAAGCATCAATAATGTTATGTGTATAGAAGAACAATGAATCTTGGTTACGTATTGAATTTTTTTTTTTCGGTGTACTTTTTTTGCGATTTTTGTTATGTGAACATAGCATTACTGCAAATCAAAATCTTAGTAACGTATAGCTTCTCTAGTATACATTGAGAGCAAATAGTAACCTTATGTGCACAGAAAAGTGTAATGAACACTTACAAATTTGGGATATATCGTGCCAAGATTTTTATAGAACTTATTTTCTTATAAACATATTGATTTTTGTATATATATCTATATTGTGCATAGCATCACTGCAAATCAAATTCTTATCAATATTTGTATAGCTGGCCTAGAATTAAAGATTAATAAAATGAAAAATGTTTCCTCACATTGTTAGTGCCCTCAGACATCAACCCGGCTGGTGAATTTGGAATGTACCTGGCCCACTATTTCACATAAAATTAGAATAAAATTAGAAATGTAACAAAATAAAGAAGCATTTTTGTTTAGTGATCATCATGAACCAAAACACTTTGAAAAGATAACTTACATTTTTAGCAGCGGCGCTAAAAGCTTCTCGGTGTGGTATCTCAGGATTGGCCATTTTTGATACGCTGTATCTCCTCTCTTTCATTGCAGAACATACATAAAATGTAACATTTCAGACTTAAAAACAGTATCAAACAACAAAAACAATTAGGTTTAGCAATAATAGTGGGTGAAAAATCATTTGTTTTGTTGATTTTTTCTCACTTCATGAATCGATTGTAGGCAGATGGAAGTCTGTGCTTTTTCTCAGGTGCTGCAAATGCAAAACAATCCAAACATAAACCAGAAGTTATGAGAACAATTTACTTGATTGTAAGTAAATTAACACCAAAAAAAAAAGAAAAAAAAATGAGGGATATATATTGATGATCTACGTTTTACAACAAAGGGTGCTTTGGGAGACACTTGCTCGCTTGATGTCGATGAGGATGAGGATGAAGACTGGCCCTTCTTGATTTCACCGCCAAAACCCTACACCGATGGCGATAGACAACATTCATTAGGGAAATTTTTTTCTTTCATTATATCTTTTTCTTTTTTCAGTTCTACTACAAGTATAGAAATCAATTATAAAATTAGACACAGAATACCCATTAAAGAGACAAAATTTTACAAGATTTGTTGGTAGGTCAACTTAGATATTTTGTGTCCTGTTTTATGACCGATTTATGTGTTGGTAGATTTTTTTTCTGGGAAGCAAAAAACTCAAAAAATATGGTACACAAAGGCCACTGTTAGGGATAAAGCAACTGCCACAACTACCATAAAACTATAGGTGCTATAACAAGAAGTGATGTTGTATGAAGAAGAAGAGCTGTACGCAGTATGTAGAGTTAACCTGAAGACTTGTTTGATGATCAAAATATTGTCCTTGAAGTGGAGGTCTTGTGCTAAGAAAAGAGAGGTTACTGCAATGGCCACATTTCACTGTCACAGTGTCTAACAACCTTTTGCATGGAATCCCAACCTAGGAAAATAGCCAGAGAGAGATAGAGAGAGTTTATATATCTATACAATTATATAAAGCACATAACTCAAATAATTTTGATTTCCGAAAAATTACAGCAATATTAAATTTTTCTCAAATATTTATATTTGCTTAGAGGTTATTGTAAAGATATAAAAAGTAAAAAACATAACTTATGTTCACTACTGGATTCTCTTTTCACTTTCAACCACCCATGATCTCTGTATTGAGAGTTTCAATTACATACGTAGTGTGATCTCTATATATACACACACATTTTATAAGCATTTTCTCTACAAGATAAAAGCACCAAAACAACAAATTAGTGTATTTAGAAAGCAACAAAGAATAGGATCACTGTTGTATTAAAAAATGAGTCAGAAAAAGTTTTTTTTAAAAAAAATGGTCTCTTATATATCATTTATTTATATCACTGATCTACTTAATAACATATCATTTGTTTGCATTAATTTCTTAATAAATTATCTTCAAGGAAACTAATCATAATTATTATATAGGAGCCTAGGAGGTGACACAAAAAAGTGATAAATAATCAGTAATACATCCACACACACAAGTAAAATAAAATAAAATAAATTAAATTAAATCAACAGAAGATTAAAAAGGGTTTTGTTGATTGAAAGGGACAAGTTTCAGAACACAAAATTCGACCCCTCCTTTGATTATTTTTGTTTGCCTTGCCCATTGTAGCAAGGGTGATACTGAAGTCAGAGTTGAGTTGTTGAAAGACATAGATAACATGGTTGGATAATGAATAGATAGATTGATCTATGTTGTTGGGTAGCTTCTTTTATATAGAAACCAGATCTTGCACATATATAGAGGGTTTTAAGAGTGTGAAATTGAGTAGTTATTACAGCAAGAACAGTGTTGCAGAAGTTGCAACGGACGTAGCATAGATTGTCGGCTGGTGGAACCAAATCCATGGAAGCTTTCTCTCCACCTGAGTTCATTGATGAAGATGAAGAAAAAGATGAAGAGGAAGAGATGGTTTGAATGAAGTGAGTGCGTCCAAGATAGTAAGGGTTTGTGAATATGTAGTGTAGTAATAAATAGGTGGGAATTGTGACGTTGGAGATAGTGTCAAAAAAAAAAAGAAAGAAAATGAAAATCTAGGATTTAAAAAATTGACAATTATTAAAATAGAATATGCGGTGGATCTTACAAATTCAAATAGTCCACGAGCCATAGACAATCCACACTCTTTATCTAAATTATAAATTTTAGAAAAAATTTTAAAAAGAAAAATCTCAATATTTGATCTTTGTATCCAAATAAATCCTAAATTTTTTATTTTGTCACTTTAAGTCATAATCTTTTGATTTGTTTTTAATCTAAATTATTTATCCATTTTCATTAAGTAAAATCGATAAAAAAAAAATGATATTAGCCATTAAACTTAAATTTTGTGAATGTGTATATACTCTTTTAAGTCCAACAACATATTAGTAATTGCCTTTGCTTCTGATTCTGAGTTGGTTCAATGCGGAGTTACATGGACCACAGTTTTATCTCATGGTATGTACCATTCACTTGATCAAAACCTAGACAATTTAACTAAATCCATCTTAAAGACAATCATAACCCTTTTTGTCTATAATCATCTGCTCAATTGCACTAAATCCCAGATGAAAAAGAAAAAAAAAAATTGCAAAAGGAGTTGGATTTCCATACAACACAAATGAGTATATGACCATAGTTATTTCACATTGATTCCACTGTCTGTAATTTTAAGAAATTGATATTTCATTAACTTTTTTCAACCCTTCCACACCACACCCATGCAGCAAAAGGCAGAGCAGAGCTAAGTTGGGGCAGGGGAGCAATTGTTGAGTTTTAATTTTTGATTAATGATATATAAACAAAATTCTTATACAAAATGCCATTCATACATCATAAAAAATAAAAATCAATATAAAAATTTCAATGGGTCTCCAGACCCAAAAAAATACAATAAAAATTTGAGTTAATTACTTAAAAGTCCTATTTATAAATGTTATGGTAACTCAAGTTTTATCTAGAGTGTTTTGAGAAGATGGTTAAAAGTTATTTTTTGGTTTTTTTTGATTTTTTTGTGAGAGAGGGAAGTGGGTTGAAAGTTGGATAGTGGCTTTTAATCCATTTCCCAAAATAGAAGATGTTTTGAACCAATAAGTTCTATACGGGGAGCAAATATTCAGGCACGCCCGCACTCCTTTCTTCCAAGCTCCTACCAGTCCGATCGACCTGCGAACACAACGGCGGTGAGCTACCCGGCGGTGTGTGGCCGGAAAACCCCTCCGACGATCAAGTTAGACACACACAGGGATAGAGAGGGAGAGAGAGAAGGGTGTTGAGTGTTTGTCCCACCAAATGTTTTTCTGCCTCAAGCATGGGGGACGCAGACATGCTTATATACATTCTGCGCCCCAAATCTACCCTCAGTGCTCTGTCGACACGTAGTACTGCTATCCCATCTGTCAGCACAAATCTTACTGTACGTCACCTAACCCAACTGCTAGTCCACTCTGCTGGGAGCTCGGCAACCGGGGTACAGCATCACGGCTACCAACATCTAGGCTGCACTTCATGCCCAAGTGTAGCAATAGCCGAGCTCCGTCCCTATCATGCTCGACTGCATTCCGGTGAAGTCGAGCCCCAAAAAGGTCACGCCGATCAACCAAAGGCTTTCTTGCCGAGTTTCGGGCACGAGCTTCCCTGCCGAGCCAAAGGTGTATGCCTTTTGGCCGAGCAACTCAAGCTGCACGGTCACCACCGGTGCAAGTAGTTCGGCCACGGGCCGAGCAGCCCCAACTCCGGGCAAATCCTAAGCTATCTCGGCCCAACACGCCCTTGGGCCTTCAACTTGCGCGGCTTTTATCTTGGCCCACTTCCGGCTCATAAATCTCCCTCTCAATTGCCCCTTAATTCCGTCCGCGCAAGCGTGACTGGGATTATTTATCCTGACTGAGGTAACACTTCCTCGGTGTTTGGTTTTGCAAGAGGTCAACCGAGCTAGTTTTCTTGCTCGGCTCCTTGATTCACTCGGTCGACGCCTCGTCTGGCCTTCCTGTCTCTTCAACTCTGACGCTGCCATTAATGGGGGCACGTGTTAATATCTTATTGGCCCTCGAGCAGCCAACCCAACCGTCTCCTCAAATTTGAATTTGGGCGGCTTCTTCCCCTCTATAAACATGCCCCTTCTCACTTCCTTTCATTCCTACTGCCTCTCTTCAAGCCTTCAACATTTCAGAGCTCAAGCACCCCCAGCAAAACTTCGTCCCTACCATTCCTTGCATTTGTGCTCGAAGAAGTAGGCCCTGCCCTCAACTGGTAAGTTCCTTGAACCTCGTTTTTGCTATTTCAGTCGGCATTTCACATATTGGGGCACTAAATCTGTAGGTTTTAGGACGTAGGCACCCAAAACCGTCCCTAACCCTTCACTCTCTTTGTTGTTCTTCCTTTTCTCTGATGAACACTGAGGGTCTGGGGCGGATCGGGCTCCAGGTCTTCCTTTGATCCAAAAAATCATTCGGACCGAGCAAATAAGCAGTTTGTCCCAACCTTAGTAGAAACTAGGGTAACCAAATGACTTGGCCGTTCAACCGAGCTAACATCTGGTCTGCTTGAGTGACCGAGCTCCTTGGTTAGCCTTAACGACCGAGGTGGTTTGGCACTCTGCATGACCGAGCTAAAGTCAAGCTTGCTTTGCGCGACCGCGCTCTCTCTTACACTGACCATCCTTTTCCTGCAGAGTCCAAGGGGACCACAGACCATTACTGAGGCTCTCAACGACCGAGCAGCCATCAAGACACCAGTCTGTGCCAAACTACCTTGCCGAGTTGAACCAGCCGGCTACACATGGGGCGCTTCCGCTTCCTTGTCGATACCCCGGCTGCCTTGGCCGTATTCCGGGAAGACTACGGCATCCCGGAAGATGTTCACCTAGAGCTCGTCGAGATTGAGACAACCCCTTGGGGCAGATTAGACTAGTGCCCCTTCACCGTTCTTTCCGTCGTTGAGTGAGGCCTCCACTTTCCGGTCAACCCTCTACTGACCGAATTCCTGTGTCGCACCGGGCTAGCACCCACACAAATATCAACCAACACCTACCGAATAATCACCGGCATTCACGAGCTAAATAACCGGCTAGGGACCAACTTAGGTTTAGCCGAGATACTGCGACAGTACACACTTGGGCACACGGGCGACGGCCTCACCTATTACTTAAAAATTCAACCGAGCAAAGAAAAGATAGTGACCGGCACCCCAGACAAGGACTTACATGATGACGACTTTTTCTGGGTGTCCGACAACTATGAAACGGCCGACGTACCGGGCTGGTTCATCAGCAAGAATTTCGGTTCCACATGTAACTCGTGCCAACCTGCTCGGTCGATTGCCTTTGTTCCATATTCTTTATTTTAACACTTCTCTTTTTTCCTTTGCAGCAATCCAAGCCTTACAAGCCAACTACCACTATCCCAACGAAGAAGCCATCAGAGCCGTGCTCCGTTATAGCAACTGGGATTGCAACGAGCTACTCGGCTACACCCCAACCTACCGGTACTCTGCTCCATGCCGGAGTAAAGTCACAGACTTTCTCCGTGCTCCATCACCTCCTCCAGACTCAACACTACCGAACATGCCCCTAATCCGGTTAACCGAGGCGGAAGAGATGGCAAAGAGAAGCCGCATCAAGAACCTACTCACAGCAACTTCCACCGAGATCCCGAGCATCCAAACCCGCCCAACTGCTACCGGTCAATCCAGTGGGGCCGTGGTTGCCTTGGCTTCTCCGGCTGTCGGTCAAGCCAGCGGAGAGACACGCCGTGCTGGCAAAAGACCACGTGCGGACCCTTCTGCCGAGCCGGTGACCGAGCTCAGCACCGAGCAACCTGCCATCACCGTCGACCCAACACCGGCATGGAGGCCCCAACTCAAACACCGGGGTAAAGACATCCCAGCAACTGCTTCCGTCAAGGGTGACAAAGAGCATCTGCTTGCCTTTGACCTTTTAAAAGCACTCCTTCTACCGAGCGATGTGGTTGGCAGCGACCACGTGCCAAACACCCAATTGGTGATATTTGCAGTGAAGTCCATGACCAGGGTAAGTCCCAACTGATACTTAAATTTTCACAAGTATTTGCACGGTTTTTTTTCTGATCAAGCTTTCTTCTCGCAGGCCATCCAGAAGCAATACTTGGTCATGGAGAGAATTCATCGACTGTGGCAGAAGGCAAACGATACTTCCATCCAAGTCCAAAGTCTTCAAACCGAGCTCGGCCGAGCAAAGTCTTCACTGCAGATTGCCAACGCTGACAACACCAAGTTGCTCGGCCAGCTTGGCGACGCTGGGAAAAAACGGGATGAGCTCCAGGCCGAGCTAAACGCACTCAAAGAGTCAAGGGAGAAAGAGTGCGAAGACGCCAACAACGCCGGCTTTAAAGAGGCCGAGGATAGTTATAAGAAGCAGGTCATCGCCACCCAAGACATCTATTTCAAAGCGGGTTGGAAGTCTGCCTGCGAACAGCTCGGTCAAGGTCCAGATACCGACGTGTTTACCTCTCCGCCAGCTGTCTTCCTACCGACCTATCTCGTGCCATATGCCAATGACGTCTTCAGCGCGTTGGAGGCTGAGGCCGAGGAAGGACTTGTAGGAGCAGCCGACGCAGATGCTAAGGGAGAGGACCGCCAAGAGCAGGAGCAACCCGGCCAAACTGCGACCGGCGTCCGAGGCCAAAGCCCACCGATCAACCTGGAGGAAGCTGGCGACAAATTCACTAACATTTCCCCCATAGTGTAGTTTTCTTAGTTTTTCTTTCTTTTTGCTCAGCACATGTAACCGGGCTGTCTGTCCCACCTCTTGTACATATTTTTATCATTAATGAAAAAGCTCAATTTTCTTGAAGTGTTGGCACGGTCAGCTGAGTAACCTCAACCGGACAAAATACTTCGGCAACATTAACCATCTTGCTTAACTTAACTAACAGGCAAAGGTATCTCGATAGTAAATACAGCTGAGC